TGGAGTATAATTACTCACTTAATGGAGTATAATAATTAGGCTTGGGGCTGGGGAGATAGCTCAGCAACATAAGCACCTGCCTGGCAAGGACCTGAGTTTGACCCCTGGTTTAAAAAAAATAGCACTATGAGGTCAGAGGGGATTTAAGTGACTGTAATTGTAAATATTAATGTCATATAATATGACTGAGATTTAAATTTTTAAATTTATTTTTATTAGTACCTATTTGCAATACACAGTGATCACACTCGTCGACGAATTGGTACATATTGCATCTTGATTATTTTTGCCTTCTCCACCCCACCGCTCCATTTCCACAGAGCTTATCTACGTTCCCTACCATCCCTCTTTATTTTGCTTTATAAGTTTTTTATACTTGGTGTCTCTCACATTAGAGACACCAGGCAATATTTAACCTGTTTCTGGTTTTTTTCATTTAGTAGTATGACCTCAAGATCCTTTTTCATTGTAGGGTTGCTGGGCTTGGCAGCCACAGTTGGGAATTTTTTTAGAGCACCCACTTAAAGTCTCATCTGCTGGCTTCCCAAAAGGCAGAGCCCTAGCGGAGAACTCGAGGTTCCCTGGGGCTCCTCCTGGTCACCTCTGTTCTTCCTTTGCACAGTGGCCTGTGTGGGAGGGCCTGTGTGTGACATTCCACCCCCAACAGAGGTTCCATCCTGCGGCACTATCGGCAGGCTGTGAGCTCGGGAAGGCACTGGGATGCGACATGGCTGATTCTGGGCGGGTGGAGTTGGTCCTTGGCTTCTGGGGCTCGGATTCTTGGAACAAAGTGGGAGCAGAGCTTGATGGTCTGGGAAGAGAAGGGTCTGGCAGCCGGGCTCTAGGCCCTTTGTTGACACCTGACTGCCATCCGCCAGAATCCTGTACTCAGATACGACGTCTGGTGTTGCCCTGGGAAGTGTGTGACCCACAGCACTGCACAAATACCAACTGTGGACGACCAGAGTCCTGTAATCCCACTAGGTTCCGGCGATCACCCTCAAGGCTTTTCCCCCACTGCAAAGCAGTGGCTGCCTCAGAGGCCAGGATATGGGGACACCTCACCCCAGTTCCTCTGGATCCATGGGTCCCATACAGTGACCTTGGAGCTGCCTGTCCCTTGCTGGGAGGTAGCAGGGAGCAGGGAAGGATGAGAGCCAGGAGCTTCCCTCGTGTGCAGAGCACCACTCGTGAGGCAGCGCTGGGAGACGGAGAAGCCAGGCTCTGAGGGGCAGGGGGAAGGGCTTTGCTTGGGAAGTGAGATAGAACTTCTGAAGCACACAGACTGTCCTGTTGACCGGAAATACAGAGAGACCCAGAAAGCCACTGTGAGCCAAGCTGCTGGAGTGACAGGGACTACTGATTTGCAGAAAGTCAGTGAACCCAAACCCGATTTGGGGAAGGGGGTGCTAGCTGCTGCCACTTAGCTGCTGGGACTTTCCACATCAGGGTCCTACACACTTCCAGGGATTTTCCAGTTGCAACAGAAGAGCCTGGAAAATCCAGGGTGTGTAAAATAGCTCAAGAGGTGATTCAAAGAGGTCCAGGTCTTCAGAGTTCAGGAACAGAACGGGAGATTAGCAAATCCCCCAGTGCGATATGGCGAAAGATGGGCCTCGGATGTGGAGCACATGGTGGCGGTTAATCATGAACCCTCTGTTTGTTGCCTGGCCCTGTTTGAAGGCCGAGCTGGTTAATGTCTGATCCAAGTCCCCTCCATACAATGCCAGAGTGTGTGTAGAGCTGCCTGTGTCCCTGTCCCCATGCCTGTGAACACTCACTGCAGGGCCGGCAGTGGCCCCCAGCCAGCTCTGCTCCTCCCCAAGCTGTGGGGCCAGCGTGCAGTGCCATGGTCTGCCTGCCTTTTCTCCTGTGACTACCGGCACCCGGGGAACAAAGACTGTGACCTTCAACTCATGCCAGACCTTATTTCACAACCTCCTCTTTGTCCCCAGGCCCTCGGGTGCCCAATCTGGTGCATGCCAGCACTCACCCTAAGGCTCTTCTGAGGGTGGGGTGACAGGCAGGCCACTAACTCCAGCCTCACATTCAGCAGGAAGTTGACATCTTTGCCAGTGAGGTCAGGTACATGCAGCCACAGGGGTGGGGCTGACACTAGCAAAAGCACAGATTGTCTTCCAATCCTGCACCTCTGTCCGTCACCAGCCCATGTCCCTGGAGGACGGGAGGGATCCCTTTCAGAACAGGATGCTGCTGCAGTTGGCTGGAACCCTGCACAAGGGCGCCTCACTGTGGGTGGGCAAAGGCAGCCTGTGCGTGTAAACTGTCGGAAATAGAAAGCTGATGAAACTTTCTGTAGCTCTGTTTTGAAATGTTTGGAAACGTCAGGGCCTCTCTTGACCTCCAAAAGGCCCTGCCCTGTGCAGAAGCGGACACCGCCTGGCTTAGCTCATGGGACCCACTCCTGCCCCTTGGAATTGGGGTGCCCAGCAATTCCTCCAGCTTCCACCATTCTTCACCCAGCGCCTGCCTTTGGCCTTATTTTAGCACCCAGAGACCTCAGAGTGGCACCTGCCTCCCAGGACTTGGGCACATTCCTCCTACACTCGAAACCAACTGCAGCGTGGAAAACTCTTCCTTGCAGACCCGTGGTGCCTCCCGCGGGTTCTCCCTTCTGCCCACACTCCTGTCCCTTTGCTGTCTGTGACAGGCTGACCGTGAGGGAGTCAGGCCAGAGTTGGAGCTTGGTTTCCTCCTGTGCACCACAGCTGGGCTCAGACAGATGCCGCCGGGGCGCCTTGAACTCCTACCAGGGGCTGATAGTGGCTGCCATGGAGTGACCAGAGCAGGATTCCTTCTGCTGAGCTATGTCTTTGATCATGCGCAGGAAGCTCCCCTGCCCTTTATGGCTTAAAATCTGGAGCTCACGATGTGACAGCCACGCCTGAGGAACGTGGGGTTGCAGTGGCTCTCTGGAGGGGAGAAGCTGCCCGCGGTCGGCAACATTTGCTCATTTCCTTTTGGCTGGAGATCTCTCAGACCTAATCTAGCTTCCAGAGCCACTCGTGGCCTGCCAGCCCCGATTCTGTGTTACAGGTTAGTCTCACGCTGGTCAGAGGGTCAGGGGGGCACTGTCCTCAGCCTCTCACCTTTCTCAAATTCTTGGAGGCTGCTGGCATTTCCGGCCTGAGATTAGCATGTTGGTCACCAGGGGGCGGAGTTGGACCCAAACGCCTTAATCTCAGCCAAAGATAGGAGGATCCTGGCTAGAAGTGACCTAACAGAAGCAGAGAAGGCGAAAGAATGTGTGCAGACCAGCAGCGCCCTCGGGAGCCCTCCTTACACGCTCAGGCGGCAACTCTTGGTGTCAAAGGGACTCTGCAAGGAGAACTCTACAAAGGTGACCTTCAGGTACCAGAGAAGACCCCCATCAGAGAGAGGATACATTAGGTTCATTAAAAGGCAGGGCATTCCTTATCTGCCGTGCCTTTGTAAGGCCTTCGGCTGGATTCAGACGGGAGGTTTCAGATCACTGTGCTGTGTCCCTTACTGGGGTAGATGTGGGGTGTCAGAACACTGCAGAGCAGGCACAGCCCTCTGCCCAGCAGCAGAAATGTCGTGTATGAGCCAGCCAGATAGCTTAGCGGACTAAAGCACTTGCCTAGGCAGAGCGCAGCAGCGGGGGCTTGATCCCCGGCTTGCCGTGCCAGCCCCGCTCCCCTGGGACAGGCTGAGATAGCGACTGAGACTGGGCGTGGTGGTGTGCACTTGTAATCCCAGCGTTTGGGAGGCTGAAAACAGGAGGATCACTATGAGTCCGATCTACATAGTGACACCCTGTAGACCCTGTACAAAAATACATTTTTAAAAAAAGAAATGTCATGTAAAGGATTGGGAAACGAAACACTACATAAAAAAAAAAAATCAAAGCACAATACAGAAGACAATAGAAAGCAAAATTCATAGAATTTAAAAAGAAAATGTCACTGATCTAAATACAGGGTGGAGGGCGTGCCTTGGCTAAAAAGTCTGAAGACTCCGCCTTTCCCAGCCAGCTTGCGGCGTGATGCTGGGCGGACTCCCTCAGCGCCGAGCCTCTGTTTCCCTGTCTGTGGCACGGGAGGGGACTGCACTTGGCCGAGCCTCGAGCCTGGAGGCCTGGCCTGCTGTGCTTTCTTACACTGACTCCACCAAGCCGGTCCTTTCCTTACATATCAGTCAAAGCCCTCCAGGGCAACAGCTGGAGTCCACATCTACATGCAGAGAGCTGTCTGCAGTAGGGGCACAAGTGACTTCGCACGGCCTAACTGCGTACTGAAGGCTGGAAACTCGGGCTTGTGTTTGGTCTGGAGGCCAAATTGTTTTTTCTTCTTCTAGAACCTTCCATTTTTGTTTTTAAGACCTATCAATTGATTGCATGAGACCCACCCACAATACTGAGAGTAATTTGCTTTGCTTAAAAGGCAACTGATTATTGAGGTTAGCCTCATCTGCAAGATGCCTCGGTAGCGACACATGGACAGACAAGTGCTTGATTAAATAACTTGGTACTGCACTCGCGCAGGTCAGTACATGAAAGTGACGTGCCCTTCCGCACAGGGCTGGCCTTGTAAGTGTCACCCTGTGCTGCACTCAGAAGGGCCCTGTGCTTTGCTTAGTACTCTGATGAAATCCTCTGGAAATTCTTGATAATCTTGGGTCATAAGGCAGTGCATTGTCCTTTTGCATTGTCCTTTGAGCTCCCATAGCTTCTTGGGTGTGGAGGAGGAGAAGGAAGAAGAAGAGGAGGAAGAGGAGGAGGGGGAGGAGAGGGAGGAGGAGGAGGGGGAGAAGGAGGAGAAGGAGGAGGAGGGGAGGGGGAGGGGGAAGAGGAGGAGGAGGGGGAGGAGGCTCTGCTTTCACGGCTGTGGGCGGGGCCCATTCACAGAGCACACTCTGAGGGTGCGCACACAGGCAATGACAGCCACCCCACTTCTCTGGCCATGTTGCATTCTCTCTTATGCTGTTAACATTCTGTGTATATTTTGGTTCTCTGAGAATGGAATTTTCATTATTTTATTGAGGTAAAAACACAGAGTATGCAATTCAATGACATACAGGATCTTCATCCTGCTGCGCAGCCGCCACCACCACCACCCGTTCCCAGGACTCTCTCCTCTTCCCAGGCAACCCTCTGCACCCATCAGACACTAACCCCCGTTGCTCCCATCCCCCACTCGTGGGACCCCCATCCTATTTGTCCCCATGAACCTGAGTGCTCTAGGCAGCCCATTTAAACACACTCATAAGATGTTTGTTCTTTATGACTGGCTTGTTGTACTCAGCCCAGTGCTGTAAGGGTTCATCCATCCTGCAGGATGGGTTCTGATTCTCTTCATTTTTAAGGCTGAGTGATGTGCATGTGTGGGCCACAGTTTGGTACTGTGAAGAATGCGGCTATGAACGTGTACATAGATCTGTCTCTAACATGTTGCTGTCCTTCCTTTGGGGAACAGGTCATTTCCCATGACCCTCATGGGTGAAGGACATCAGGCAGGGGTCACACCACAGCTGCACCCAAACATCTCCAAGGGCCACGTCCTGTAGAGGACTGGAGAGGGAATGCTGGAAGCCGCAGCCCTGGGGACGTTCACTTCTATACCTTGCTAATAGACAGAACCTGGGAGTAATGGGGTTCCTGACCTGCTAGACAAACAGCACACATTAGGGCTACCTTTCCTCCTGGAGAACTGAGCATGGTGGCCGGAGGTGCAGAAAAGGGAGGCAAAGGCACGGGGACATCTTTGGGGGCTTGGGTGCGATGTCCCTGCCTGCTATGGGTGCTGGGCGGATGGAGGGAGGGGAGGACAGCCCTGACCCGAGCCCGGCTCACGCCATGGAGTCAGGAGGGGATGGATGCCTGCCTCTTGGACCTCCCCTCAAGAAGGTGGGCCTTGCTTGTGTACCCTCCCGCCTCAGTAGAACACTTTCTCCAGGTAGGAATTCAGGAACATTCCGGTGGGGTCCAGCTTTTCACGGATGGCACAGAACTTGGGAAAGGCAGGATACATTTTCTCAAAGTCCTTTCGGGTGCAGTTGTGGGCCTGCAGAAGCGATCAGAGACCATGGGCCTTGTGCCTGGAGTCAGCAGGTCAGCAGGGCCGAGTCCCCAAGCCTGCCTGGTGACATCCATCCCTGGAGACACATACATGCTTGCACCATAAGAGAGCCCAGAAGAGCAGAGTGTGGGGTGCACATGTAGAATCCCAGCACTCAGGAAGCTGAGGCAAAGGATCACCAGCCTAGACTACATATCGACACTCTCACTCCCCCAAAAGAAGGGGGGTGTTTTAGAAAGTGCAGTAGGAAGGCGTTAAACAGCAGCACTGGGCCCACCACTCCTATTACAGTGTGACATGGGTGGGGGGTGGGGGTTTCCAGTGCCACCACAGCAGAGAGTCCTCACTTTCCTATCTGCTAAATGGGCTCACAGATGCCAGCTAATCCTGCTCATGGGCTTCCTAAGAGAGTCAAATGAAGGGACAGATGACACATTTCTTTGGACAGCGTGGGGCCTGGCAGTCACCTAGAGCTGAGGGCATCGAGGGGAAGGATGAGGAAGCAGGTCTGAGAGTGGGAGGCTGAGCCCCACCCTCCCTGGGGGTGCTCTGCAGATGCCTACAGCCCTACCTTGGCCCAGTGGGGTCTGCCCTCGAACTTCTTCATGATGGTCTCATAGGCCAGCCAGTAGTCAAGCCGGGGCACGTCCTTGCCATAGGGCCTGGGCATGGGGGAGGCAGGAGGAGGTGAGCCCTGCACAAGGATCTGCCCACCCTGCGGGGCACCTTCTCTATGCTGCCCAGCACTCCTCCTGGCAGGGGAAGCCACGGCCAGGTCTGCCACAGGATGCAGCCAGCAGCCAGCAGCACCTGTGGCTTTTGCTCACCCCTAAGGGGTCTAAAAACGTGCACCCCCTCAGGTATCTTCAGTGAGAATCTGAAAGACTGTGGGTGGGAGTACGGGTCTGTAACAGAATGGAGCTGAGGAGTCCCCATGGCCTAGTGCCTCTCCTGCGCCTTCCTGTGTTATGATGTCGGGGTACGGAGACACCTGCCACTGTCCCTGCTGCCTACAGTGGGACTGCTATGCAGTATGCGGCCTGGGTGTGCAGCAGGCCCTGGCACAGGGAGGGGACTCTACTGCTGAACACACTCCAGCCTGGGAGCCCTTCCCCACCTCAGTCACTGACCGGCATGGACCCAAGAGATAAGAATACACTATTGTCATTCCACAATATTTGCTTCCTAAATAGTAGCTATTCCTAATGAATAAAGTCACAAATAATATTAAAGTCATATTAGCATAACATAGACTAGACCTGAGGTATGACGTGAATCTCTAAGTGGAAATGTTGCTGGGTGTGGTGATACACATCTGAACCCAGCGCCCTTGCAGGCTGAGGCAGGAGGACCTCGAGTTTGAGCCCACTCTGGGTGACTTAGAGAGAACCTGTCTTGGGAAAGGTCAGCATGAGGCCTTGGGTTCAGTCCTAGCACTGCTGAGAAAGAGAGGGAGTGAGGGGTGGAGGAAGACACAGGCTGGCCTCCTGCTGCCAGGACCAGCAAGTCCCTGGAGGAAGTGGCATCAGAGATGGGAAGGAGAGGGTGCTTTCTAACTCCCAGGGAGGCAGGCCAGGGTGTTTCCCCTGCCACGAAGGGAGCCTGTCACCTGTACATGATGATGTTCATGTAGCAGCTGTCCCTCTGGAAGCAGGGGCTTAGTAGGATGTCATCCCCCCGGGTGAAGCGCACCTCCACGGGGTAGTGAGCCACCACCTTGGGGCTGGCTTCCAGCGCGCTCTTCAGCTCCAGCAGGGCCTCCTTGGTCTTCTCCCTGTGCTCGGTGCAGGGCATGCGATCTGGACCTCAGGGCAGGAAGGGCCTCTGGGACCTTCCCCACGGCGCTCACGGAGCCCTCCTCTGTGGCCGTCCCAAAAGACCCTACCTGGGGATGGCCCAGTCCTGGACATGCTGCTTGAAGCGGCACTCGTAGGTGAAGATCTTGTGGCTGACATCACTGTTCTCCTTCTTGCGGTTGAACAGCAGCCAGAAGAAGAAGCGGTTGATCCAGCCCACGAGGCACGGCAGGAAGGTGCTGTGGGGATAGGCGAGGAGGGACAGGGGCGCGATCGTGACACCAGCATCCGTCACATGCCTGCTGTATCCCAGGGATGGCGAAGAGGCCTTTCCCAACCAGAGCCTTGCTCTCCACATGTAGGTGGCCTTGTCACTTATCTAGGTCTTGGACATCCCTGTGGGTGGCACCAGTGTGGCCCCACGTCCTTCTTGCTCTAGCCATGTGGCACTCTACGTCGGGGCACTGAGATTTTATTCTGACACACACACACACCCATTAGTGGTTATTGACATTGCTTTGGGAGTTTTGTCACCTCCAGCCACCCTCTAACAAGTGTCTTTGTCCCAGAATCTTAGCAGCCCGCTAGGACCGAGGGTGAGTGTCATGTCAGCAGGTCGTTGCCTGGTGGATTTCCCCAGAGACCGTGGTGTGCACCCTCCTAAGCCCCGGGCTGCATGGATTGCTGTAGGGGTTAGGTGGCCAGTGGGAGCCAGAGACTGCCATGGGGTCTCTGGGCCTGCGCTCTGGTGCCCCTAAATGATGCTGGAGTTGCCCAGGGAGAGCTCTGCGCAACTAGGGGCCAGGTGGGAACTGTTACCTGGCTTTTTGCTTTAGGAAATACATTTACATGATAGTCTGCCCGATCTTTACACACGCATGCACACACGCACGTATGCATGCACACGCACACACACACACACTCACACTCACATGCTCACACACGTATGCATGCACACATACACTCACACATTCACACACATGCTCACTCTGGACACACCATGGAGCCAGTGTTCTCCCTGCCAGGAGGTGTCTGGGCCCCAGACAGCCAGGTAGCACATGGGCCGAGCCCAGCGGTTTCCTGGCACTTCTGGCTGTGGCCTGGGTGTGGTGCACGAGATGTAGAGCCCTATTTATTTGCGTGTGGCCTGGGCCCAGGAGCCAACACACACACTTGAATCTGTGCCGCTGCGGGGGTGGAAGCTGTGGCTGGAGGGAAGCCACCTTCTCCTCCGGGCTGTCACCTGGATGGAGCTGTGGCCTCTATGCTGGGCACGCTGGCTGATCCTGGCCTGTACCCTACAGAGCTGATAAGGGGCTGCGTTTCAGTTCCTGACACCTCCCAGGCAAGTCATTCATCATGGTTTGGAAACCAGTCCTGCATGGGGACCCCCTGATGCCACCCGTAGCACTCCTATCCCAAGGACAGGCCAATCCATGGAAGAAAATGGGCTGAACTGCCTCAATTCCTGGACCCAGACCCAGCCTGGACCCAGAACTGCTATGAAAGCAGTATCTGACAGGCAGTGTGTCCTGGGAGAAAGTGTTACAGCGAGCCTGGGCTTCTGTGGGAACCAGCAAGGCCTGGAACCCATCCCAAGAGCCCATCACCGCGCTCAACTGTGATTCAAGGATTAAGTATCGCCTTCTAGGGATGTCACAAGGACTACAAGGGGCCACACATATGGAGCACCCCGCAGTGTGCTTGGGAGACAATAAGTGCTCAGAGAACTGCCACCCTTGCAGGCTGAGGGTGGCTGCTGCTCTCCAGAGAGGCGTGGGAGAAGGAACGGGCGCCTGCAACCTGAGCTGGCACACAGGGGCGAGAAGGACCGGTGACGGCTCCTGGCCACTGGTCTCACAGGCTCCCCGTTTTGCAGGGTGTTGAGCTGGCAGAGTCAGGTTGCAGAGGGGAGAAGGAGGGGAGCTCTAGAGCAGCTGCCGAGGACCAGAGCCCGACCCTGGTCCTTTGACCTGTTCCCTCCGGCCCCCATTTGCCTTCAAGCTGGCAGCCTAAAGAAGCCCCGGAGCATGCTTTAGATCAGGCTTCTAGGTGAGGCTGTGGCAGCCGCGTCTTGTCAGAAAGTATAAAGTGAGTTATCATTGACAGAAGCCGATTAGTTGGATCCGTAAGAAAAAGATCAGTGGACACTTGGGTTCAGTTCACGGGGGCCAAGCAGCAGCACTAAATCCAAGACCACCACTGACCTGGAACAGCCACGCAGTGAGTGACTTTGAGTTTTGCCAAAAAGGACAGGAATGCAGAGAGAAGTAAATCATTCGCGGGCTCCACAGAGCTGGGTGTTGGAGCTGTCTGAGGGGAGCTAAAGAAGAGCGCACTTAGTCGACAAGGGAGAGGCTCAGAGGAAGAAGGACCCCAGGAGGAAAGGCCGAGTTTGTTCTCAGGCTGGCAGAGCCAGAGGATGGGATGGAAGAGGGTGTGGGGTAAGACCCACTCGTACTTCCTGATATCAGAACTTACTGTGAAGCTACAGGAATCGAGACAATGTAGTACAGGGTTCAAGACTGACTCCGATCAGTGGAATAGATCAGGAGTCTAGAAATACATTTTGGTCAACTGATTTTTAACAAAAACATAATGACAATTTAATGGGGAAAGAATAGCCTTTTCATCAGATAGTGTTGAAAGAACTGGCCATTATAAGCAAAAGAAGGAGGCTGGACTTCTCCCTCAAAATGTATGCAGTGATAAAAACAAAAGAGCTAAAACTGTAAACTATAAAACTCTCAGGAAAAAGTCTTTGTGATTTTTTTAAGCACAGGGTGTTTAAAAGTGAAGCACAAAGTGTGCGCATAAAAAAAGGATAAATTGGACTTGACCAAAGTTAGTAAAGAGATGGATCACAGAGTGGGAGAAAATATTTGCAAATTATCGATCTGATAAGGGACTGCTCTCGAGAATGAGAACTATTTCCATTCAGCAATAAAAAGTCACATAATCTAATGTGTAAATTTTAAAAATGGGGCAAGCCCAGGTGTGATGACACACACCTGTAATACCAGCACTCTGGGAGTGTTATGGTTTGTGTCTAGTTGTCCCCCCAAAGCCTCATGCAGTCATGGGGCAGACTTGTAGAGTTTGTAACTAACTCATGATCCACTGGGATTATGGGTGTGAGTGCTGCTGGGATTATGGGTGTGAGTGCTGCTGAGATTATGGGTGTGAGTGCTGCTGGGATTATGGGTGTGAGTGCCTCACCTGGCCTGGGGCAGACAGCCTGAATGCACCTTAAGGAAGACAGACTCGCTCTGCAGCCATTGCTGCTGCTGCCCCTCCCTTGAGCTCTTGCTCTTTGCCGCCTCCATGAAAGGCTGCCCTCTGCCATGTGCCGCTCTGCCTTGAGCCAGCTGAGTATGGACTGACACCTCCAGTAGCTGTGAGCTAAGTAAACCTTTCCTTCCTTCATTCTGGGTGTCGGGTATTTGTTCCAGCAACAAGAGAAGAATAACTGAGACAGGGAGGCAGAGCCGGAAGGATTAAAATTTAAACCAGCCTGACAATTTAGCTAGGTCTTGTCACAGGCTTAAGCCAAGAAACAAAAAGGGCTGGGGAGACAGCTTAGTGTGATGACCTTGTGTTCAACCCCAAGTACTGTGAAAAGCAGATAAATAAAAGTGGAAAAAATCTGCATAGACATTTGTTCAAAGAAGATACACAAATGGCTCTAAGAACTTGAAAAATGCTCAACATCATTAGTCATCAGGGAACTTCTACTGGAAACCACCACACACTACTTCAAACTTTCTAGGATGGCTTAAATGGAAAAGACGGATAATGACAAATTTTGTTTGGATGAGGAAAAATTTGAAACTTAATAAAATGTTAATGGAGGTGTAAATTGGTATAGCCCTTCTGTAAAACTGTCAGTTCCCCCAAAAGCACAAAATTACCCTATGACTCAGTGATCCTATTCTTAGGAAATAACCAAAGAACCGAGAAAATATGTCTAAATACAAAATTCTACATGAATAGTCACAGCGGCATTATGTGGGTTTGTCAGAAAGTAGAAATAATCCAAGTGTCCACTTGCTGAAGAACCAATAAACACAGGCCAGCCACACAAGGGAATATTAGTCGGCCACAAAAATGAACAAATGATCGACACACTCTACAACGCAAAGAACATTATGCCAAGCAAAGGAAGCCACTGGCAGAGATCACACGTGGTCTAATTCCGGCCACACGCAATGTGTGGAACAGGAACCTCTACAGAAAGGAGAGTAGTGTTTTCCAGGGCAAGAGGAAGGACAGTGACACGTGCTGCTAAGGCTCCAGGGCTTCTTGTCGGAGCTGTGGAAATAGTCTACCACTGACTGAAGGAATGGCTGCATGACTCTGCGAGGGTTCGGAGAGTCCCTGGACTCTGCACTTCCAGGGGAACCATCTGGCATGAGAATGAAGTCCGCACGCAGGTCCCAGTCACCATTAGTCAGGAGGTGAGTGACCTGGACTGGGGCTCCTGTCTCAGATGCTAGATACCTGCCTACAGTGGCGAATCACTCAGGCATCCCCTTGGGATGCTGCCCAGAGAGAGCCGTACTCCGAGGGGCAGGGAGGACTGCGGGGCCAGAGAGAGACTGCTCAGTTGGCCTGGGAACAAGTAGGGAAGGCTCCGGAGGGGAAGGGAGAGGTCAGCACCCAGGAAGTGACCAAGCGAAACTCTGGGAAGGAACTCTGTCTTCTTGTCCCTCGCTACTGGAAAGTATCCACACGGGCACGTGTTCCATGTGGCACCCGTTTTTATGGCATGGTTGTGCTACCTGCCCTCAGCCATGTGCTATGGGGAATAAATCTATAGTCCCAGTACCATGGGGCTACTCGCTTTGAAAGTGACTGACAGAGTTATCCCAGCAAGACCCTGCTGAAGGAGCCTAGAGAACCACTTCATTCATGTCTGGACTTACCTGTTATTTTTTTTTTTTTTATTCTTGGGCCTGAACTTTGAACCATCCATCTACCCATCCATCCATCCAACCCCCCATTCCATCCTCCCTCCTTCTTTTCCTCCCTCTCTCCCTCCCTCTCTTCCTCTCTTCCCTCTCTCCCTTCCTTCCCTTCCTCCCTCTTTCCCCTTCCTGCTTCCCTCCCTCCTTCCTTCCCTCCATCTCTCCCTCTTTCCCTCCCGCTCTTCCTCTTACCCTCCTTCCCTCCCTCCCTCCTTTCTTCCCTTTCTCCTATCTCCCCCCCCGCCTTCCATCAGGTGGGTTCCTGTCACACCCTCTTTTCTCCAATGCGTTTGCATTCAGCAGCTGTGTGGCTGTTCTAAAACATCCCCTCCTTAAAACCCTCCTGGTGATTTCCACTGCCCTTAGGATGAACCCTGCTCCTCAGGCCACTCACATGTGCAGCTGGGGTGCAAACCACTGCCCTGCCTCAGGAGGCAAACCCAACTGCCTCCTCCATGTGCATGGCCGACAGTGGGAAGGGGCTACTGCACTCCTACCTGGCCCAGAGCAGGAGCTCCAGTAAGTAGAATCCAAAGGCGTAGTCCCAAAACCAGTTGGCTGAAGAGGAGGGGGGCTGGGAAAGGAAATTTGCCATGAGTTCAGCCCCGAGAGTCAGGGCTGAGCTGCCTTCTGATGTATGCATTCTATTGTCATCGGATAAGATGTATTCTGGGTACGGCTTCATGTGGGGGAGCAAGGAGAAGCCACAGGCGACCCACCTCTCTTGGCCACACCCCTACGTGTCCCCACTCTAGGACACCCTGGCTGCCCATTGGCCGCCTTCCTTCTGCCCTCTGGCCCACTCGGCTACGCTCCCACCTCATTGACCCTCGGAACACAAGTGTCAGCCAGACTGGGAGCCGGCAGGGTGTGGAGATAATGGCTGTGTGGGGCAGGGAGGACGCACGCTGGTCTCCGGGCACTGCTGCTCCCGGACGCGGAGCGAGTTTGGCCACATCACCGTGGCTACCTTGTTGGTGTGGTCCTGGTAGATGATGCTGACGTTCTCGCTGTGTGGGAACCACAGGAAGCGGAAGTACTCAGACTTCTTCAAGTGGCTGTCAAGGTTGTCAAGGACCTGGCCCAGCAAGAGGGAGGGGAGAGATTGCATTGTTACAGGAAGACGGTGGAGAAGCGACCAAGAGAAATTCGCCGTTAGTCAGTTTTGCGTCACCAAAAGAAAATACTTAAGATTCTCCTAACATTGTCCAATGGCTAAGAATGAGTCTTAAAACATGGGAACATTAAAATGGCCCACTTACATGTTCACTTCCTCAAGCTGTGTAGAGGACACAGTAATTTCCTATCTGTCAAAAGACTTTGCCCACACAGTAGTCGCTACTTCAGTGTGTGTTATTGGGATGAAGGATCCTATGGGGGCTTGTGCCTCAAAATTAGAGTCACAGTGCTATTGAGCTGGCCGTTGAGAACTGGCTACCACACTTGTGGTGACCAAGCAGGTTTGAAGTCTTTGGCTGGGCCAGTCTCCAGCAGATGTCCACCCAAGGGAGTGGGGAGCTCCAGCATGACAAAGCTGGTGTGTCACCAGGACCGATCCTGCTCCTTAGGGAATGGGGTGGTGACGCAGGCACCCCTGCACATGTCGTATCTTGTTATGGCTTGGCTGGCATAAAGGCAAGAGGGCAACAACGATTTATGAAGTCCCCATGTCTTCTAATAGGCTTGACTGCACATTAACCAGACCACAGAGTGGGCAGTGCTGTGGTCATAAAAGGGCACAGAGGAAAGTGGGGGCTCTTTGCAAACATGAACTTGGGGTGTGGCTCCACCCTCCCACTGTGGTCCTAAAGCACTGATTCTTCAGGGTCCGAGAATGACCCCATTCCTTACTGGGCTTTGAGCAGCATTCGGTATCATGTTGAGGCATCTTCAAGAGAGCCAGTATCGGGGAGCACAGTATGGGATCCACCCATACAGCGTGGGGGGCAGAGAACATCTCAGAAGAGAGGGCTCTGAATGCATTTGTGTCCTTCTGAACCCGGTGCTACGTGGACCACTCAGGGCTTTGTGCCTTAAGGGCTGGCAGCAAAGCTGCCTCGGGGAAGATCTCTGCGTGCCCGAGCTGACCGCCCAGCAACTGGAGGAAGGAGTGATGGTGACTGTGTTCCCTGGCAAAACGGGGGAGCAGCCTGGCAGCCTGGGGATTGGAATCCATCTCAGGACGGTCGGGAGGACAGTGCCCCCCAACATGTTGGAAAAGAGCTGGAGGGGGCAGAGAGGCCAGAAGACCCACATGTGGTGTTTCCTTGTAGGGTGACAAGATCACAGAGGAGTGGAAGGGGCAAGATCGAGCTGGCTCATGTCCTCCTGGGGCACAAGGCTAAGGAGTGCCTGTGGGCTGCTCCAGAGAGGGAAATGGCCCTGCCAGCCACAGCCTCACCTCAGGGTAGAGACAAGGAGGGGCAGCTCTGCTGGATCCTGGACGCTGGCTTGCCAAGGGGCCTCGGGAAGCCCACGGCCAGGCTCGCAGGCTGCCCCTCTCCCTGACCTCTTCCCTCCACCCTTTTGAGCATTTCTGATCCTGCATGTGTGTGCCCGTATGTATCCCGGTGTGCAAGGGTGCGCTACTTTTTCTTTTGGGGTGGAGACTGCAACTGCTATTTTTCCTGTCACAGCAACTGGAAGCTTTGAAAAGAATGTGGGCCATTGCTTTAAAAGTCACTTTGAGTTTTCAAGGATGTCATGTCTAATTAGAAGGCTCCATGTTGACCTGAGTTGGAGACAGCAGTCTGGAAGGATGTTCAGCGGATGTGTGTGCATGCGTGTGTACATACATGTGCATATGCATGTACCCATATGTGTGCATGTGTGAGCAGGTGTGTGCTGGTACACATGCTGGAGGGGGTGAGGCAGCCTGAGATCAGGCTCAAAGAGAAGCAGGACTTGACTGCGACCTCTGCTGGGTCAGAGGAGACAAGAGGACTGGTCGGGTGGCAGAGGACTGACCAGTGCCCAGCTCTGGTGGCAAAGTCAATCCGCAGCAAAAAGGAGCAAGCCTTTAATCTCTGGGTCAAAATCTTCATCCTGAAAATCAGTAAGCTCTCACTCAAGTGGAAGGCAGGAAAAGGGGCTTCAACTGCAGGCAGGAGCATGACCACTTTCTGATGGGGAGGGGTCGCTTCCCCGCAGGTGACATCCTTTATCCCTTAGCCTGCCCAGCGCTCACTGAAGCCCCTGTCATGGAGGCCAGCATAGGCCTCCCATGGCCCCCCTTCCCTGCAGCTCTGCACTCTCTGCACCTGTGGCCCCCACGTCCCTCCCCTTGATGCCCATGGCTGTCTAACTGCCCCTACTCTTGTATACCCATCTCCACCCTTCTGCTCTCTGAAGCACCTGCTGTCCCCAACCACTGCCTGGAGAATGGGGGCCTCTATCAGGGGCTGAGCTACACTTGTACCCTCAAATTCCTATGTGACCTCCCAACCCCAGTTCCTCAGATTGTGACTATTTGGAGACAGGACCTCCAAGCAGGCCAGTCCTGGAGACTCAGCTCCCAGATGTGGTGACACCTCTGGGTCCTCGAGGTCAGAGCAGCTGAGAGTACCACCCTCCAGGCACAGTCACTCAGGCTCACCTCCCGTGCAGGCCTCTCTCCTACCCCCATCCCCACTCCAGCAAGGCCAGTACCTCTTTCAGGGTAGAGGGGAAGGATTTCTCCTGCAGGTGGAACTGTGGCACGCACTGCAGGGTGACCGTGAGGATGACGCCCAGGCAGCCAAGGTGCACCCGCGCCGCCTGGAACACTTCAGGATGGCTGGACTCAGAGCACTCCAGAATGGCCCCGTCAGCTGTCATCAGTGTCAGCGCCACCACCTGGTGGAGGGGAAGCCACACACAGAGTTGGGCTCAGCCAGAAAGGGGTGGGTGGCACCCATTCCCAGAGGACCCTGTCCCCTGGGCCCTGGGACACCTTAGAGAGCCAGGTGTCTTACTGTACCCTACTGTCATGGCCAAAGGGAGGAGACTAGGAGGAGAGAGAAAGGGGAGAAAGGAAAGCGAAGCCATGCCCAGGGGGTGCCACGGGCCCTGCTGGTGGGCTGATCCTCCGGGAGCCTCCTCCTCACTGCTTCTGTGGCCTCGCAGGAAGCCACGCTCTGCCCCTGCCCGAGGAATTCTGAGCCTGGATGGCTGCAAAGAGCCAAGGGCCAAGCCTGTGTGGTGGCGAATGCCTGAAATCCTAGCATCTGCTAGACCGAGGCAGGAAGAGTGCAAGTTTGAGTCCTGCTGAGCCACTTAGCAAATATAGCCAAAGCCTGTGGGATGGGGTGGGGATGTAGCTATGCAAAGCCCTGGGTTCGACCCTCAGTGCAAAAAGAAAAAAAAATGAAAAAAGAGCCGTGGTGGTTCTTAGGATTGTGTGTGTGTATGGTACCTTGAGGGCCATGAAGCCCCACTGGGAGAGCTCAGCTCAGGAGCAGGATCCCTGCCGCTGCCTACCTGCCCTTGCTATACCTGGGGTCACTGTCCAGGTATAGCAGCTCCTCCTTCCACCTCTCCCCTGTGGCCACCAAGAGCTTCTGCTCCACTAGAGACTGGAGACCAGCAACCTCAGCCCTGAGGCCCTTGGCCCCATTCGGCCCTCTCTGCCCCTGCAACCTGCTGTCTGGAGGGAAATTGCTTCTGACGTGTGGCTGGCCACGGGGGCATGGGGCAGGAGAGCAGGACTAATTCTGATTAACAGTGCCTGAGACCAGAGAGGAGAAGAGGGCAGAGCCCAGGCTCGGTGGCCTGCTGCAGGAGTGAGGTTGTCAGTGGTTTCTACTAAAGCCAAGCTCTGTCTGGGATCTGGAGCCATGTGTGAGATCCAGCCAGAGCGGTGCTTCCCTTGGGTCTGGAGCCTGTGGGCAGGGGCACTGTTCTCAGGGCTGTGTGGACTTGGCCATGTGCTTCAGCCTCTCTATTCCCTCCTCTGTGAAGCAGGGAGAGTAGTGACTGCTCCCTTGAGGAGTGGTGAGGGTCAGCTGAGGATATGTCAGCACGCCTCTCTGGCATGGCAGACACCACAGATGAGTGTTCCCTGGCATCTGCAGGCGGCGCAAAATCAGGGAATTAGATAAGCTGCCACTTAGATTGCACGATGTGCAGCAATAGGCAGTGAATATTCACATTTCAAAGATGGATTACAATAAAAGACACATCACCTCGCACCCCTCTCAAAGCATCTCCCCCCACTTCAAACAAACTCATCCCCTCATGCTCGGCGCATCCTGAGCTGTTCTGGAAGTCCTCTTTCCCAAGAAGCTTCCTGAGGTGTGGTCAAAAATAGCACAAAGCTGTTGCTAGGCGCCATGAAACCGAGAGGCAGGCTTGGCAGCCAGGGCGGTACGCCCTCCTCCTCCTTCTTAGCTGGGTCTGGCAGCGTGGCTTCTGGGTCTCCCCCAAAGACCAAAGGACCACGAAAGGCAAACATTTTGAGTCCACTCAGAACACTGAGGCAGCTACAACAGCACAACTAAAGACGCTCACAAATGAAGACTTCCGGACCTGCTTCAGAAAAGCAGAGACAACGGGATAGGTATGCACAAAGGAAGGGCCTTCAGGGGCTTGATGGCAGAGAATAACAATACTAATTATCATTATTTAATCTTGTATTTAGTTGGTACAGGGTCTCACTACACACCTTGGACTTGGTAGTGACCCTCCTGTCTCAGCCTCCCCAGCGCTGAGATTACAGGTGTGCACTACCATGCCAGGTCTCAGTGGCTGGCACAGTGCTCCCAGGGTTCTGGGGCCAGCATGGCATGCAGTACCAGGGATGAGCCCGGGTCCTTGTGCTTATCAGGCAGGTGCTTAGACCCCTGAGCTATCTCCCAAGCCCACAAATAATTATTTGAATAAATTATTTTACTTTAGTAGCTTTCTTTTAAAAATTTAGACATTCAGGGACTTAAAGTTCAACGTATCAATATTTGATGAAAAATACCTGTTCCATGTTATGCTTAAAATGTTTGATATTCAGATAGATAGTGAGGTTAAGCTTAACAACCTAAGTTGTTTGATAATAACAATAAGCTTGTCTTCTTGGTTAACAACCTAAGTTTGCAAACCAAATTAGAGAAAAAGGAGGGCTGCAAGGAAAGCCAACTTTTTGGCCCTAGCCTTCCAAGTTCAATTAAGACTCAGGACATATGAGAACTTGTACTGTTACATCATGTAACTCGGTAGTGTCCCAAAT